AGCCACCCAGGTGCCCCAAAAGCCTTTCATTTTGTATAGCTCCTTGGATACTGTTCTATTCATGAATCTTGCCAATCAGATGTTCAAATTTTACTCAGTTGAATTTTTTAAAATGGAATTAAAGATATTTGGGTCTTTTGGTAAACATGTCTTGTGTCATGTTGAAAGATTATATTGTGAAGAAGCATATGTTTCTAGAAATTATGAAATATATTCATAAACTTGCCAATCTAAAGAATACTAGTATAATATAATTCAAAATTGCTTATTCTTAGTTTTCACTAGAAATTAAGATTTCTAAGGGTTAAGAATTCTAATTAACCAACTAAGCCACCCAGGCGTCCCCAAGAATTCTAATTAATATATGTAATTAAAGTTACAAGAAATAATAAGGGAAATATCTCCATATGTAAGGAAAGTAGGATGTATGTGTTTGGTAAAAGAAGGTATGAGGAAAGGAAATGAATTTTTGTTGAAGGAAAAGAGATTTGTAGAAATTTGTAGGAAAACAATCTTTGGAAAGAAATTTTAATGTTTGGTCAAACTTGCTAATGTTAGAATAAATTTAATTAAGTTGAATTTTATTTTATTTTTTATTTTTTTAAAGATTTATTTATTTTAGAAAGAGAAAGTGGAGAGAGAGAATGTGCATGTGAGCAGTGGGGGGAGGGGAGGCAGAGAAAGAGAATCCCAAGCAGACTCCCTGCTGAGTGTAGAGCTCAACAGGGGCTCAATCTCATGACCCTGAGATCACGACCTGAGCCAAAACCAAGAGTCCACCACTTAACTGACTGAGCCACCTAGGTGCCCCAGTTAAGTGAGTTTTAATATAAAAAATAAGCTGGTGCAAAATTAGAATTGGTTTCTCTCTTAAAAGGACAAAGTTTTCTTGGACTTTTGGTTTGCTGTTTGTAACAGACTGCAAAAGAACTTTACCTTTTAAATAATCTGCCTAGAAAGCAGAAATTCTTTGTTTTATCAAAATAATTTTCTGTGCTTTATTTGGTCTTTCACTGGTTTTGCTCAGAACTACATAACATTTTGTATTTGCCTTTAAAATCTTTTGTCACTTTGGTTCAATGGATAATTATTGTTTCATAGTGATCTGTGATCCTATTTGGTCAAGTGTCCAAACCATTTGATATTTTTGACAGTTTCCAGAATCAAATTCTCAGTAAAATCTTTTTTGACCTCAGGGGCACCTGGGTGGCACAGTTGGTTGGGCATCCAACTCTTGGTTTCAGCTCAGTTCATGATCTCGGGGTCATGGGATTGAGCCCTGCATTGGGCTCCCAGCTCAGTGTGGAGTCTGCTAGAGATTCTTTCTCCCTCTCCCTCTGCCTCTCCCACTCATGCTTTCTCCCTTTCTCTAAAATAAATAAATAAGTCTTAAAAATATATATATTTTTTTTTACCTCAAGCTAAATTTTGAGAATTTCCAGAGGCTCCCTGCAATATCTCAAAAGATTTGTATTCTCTCCTTATAAAAAGAGAGCTGTTAATACCGATTGGGCTTATTTGGTATGTTAAATTACAGGGGAAGGATTATCAAATAATCCTGATAAACCTTCTTAGGTTATATTGTATGTTATTGATATTATTAATATAATTATCCTAGAAATTGTATGAAATTCCTAAAATTCTGACATGTACCTGTATAATGTTATCAGTCATAATTCTAGTTACTACCTTAAAATATTGTGTCATACAAATAAGCACATTTATGTATTAATTCCACTATAATGAGCTCTCATCAGATCTTTAACAATGGTCATTTAAAATGTTTTTGTCATTTACAGATAGTCATTTTAGTCTGATTCTCTGCAAAGTGTTCTTGCAAAAGTACTCCTTCTTCAAGGAGATTCAAGAGAAGAACTTTTGACAAGTTCAGGTTTCTGGTAACTTGAGATTATAAAACTGGGCTGGGTAATGTGGGCATCTCTCTGGCTCACTTGGTAGAGCATGTAACTCTTTAAAAAATTTCTTTTTAATTTTTGAAAAAAATTATTTGAGAGAGAGAGGGAGAGAGAAAGAGCACGAGCAGGGGGAGGGGCAGAGGGAGAGGGAGAAGCAGACTCTCCGCTGAGCAGGGAGCCCGACATGGGACTTGGTCCCAGGACCCTGGGATCATGACCTGAGCCAAAGGCTTAACTGCCTGAGCCATCCAGGCACCCCTTTAAAAAAATTTATTTTGGGGGGCGCCTGGGTGGCTCAGTCATTAAGCGTCTGCCTTCAGCTCAGGTCATGATCCCAGGGTCCTGGGTTCAAGCCCCACATTGGGCTCCCTGCTCAGCAGGAAGCCTGCTTCTCCCTCTCCCACTCCCCCTGCTCATGTTCCCTCTCTCACTGTGTCTCTCTCTGTCAAATAAATAAATAAAATCTTAAAAAAATTTTTTTTTAAATTTATTTCCTTTAGGGAGGGAGAGAGAGCATGAGCAGGGGGAGTTTTTTTTTTAATTTTTTTTAAAAATTTAAAATTTATTAATTTGAGGGGGGTGGAGAGAGAGGGTAGAGCATCTAACTCTTGATCTCAGGGTTGTGAATTCAATGTCTGTGTTGGGCATGGAGCCTACTTTAAAATAAAATAAAATAAAATAAAATCAGATAAAATAAAATAAAACCTTTACCAAAAAAACTGCTGGTTAAGAATTTCCAGAGCCAATAGAAAAACTGGATTCAGGTGGAACAAGTATTAATTATTTGGAAATGATGGGAATGCAAGCTGGTGCAGCCACTCTGGAAAACAGTATGGAGTTTCCTCAAAAAGTTGAAAACAGAGCTACCCTATGACCCAGCAATTGCACTACTGGGTATTTACCCCAAAGATACAAATGTACTGATCTGAACGGGCACCTGTACCCAATGGTTATACCAATGTCCACAATAGCCAAACTATGGAAAGAGCCCAGATGTCCATCTACAGATGAATGGATAAAGAAGATGTCGTACACACACACACACACACACACACACACACACACACACATTGGAATATTATGCAGCCATCAAAAAATGAAATCTTGCCATTTGCAACAACCTGGATGGAACTAGGGGGTATTATGCTAAGCGAAATAAGTCAGTCAGAGAAAGACAATTATCATATGATCTCATTGATATGTGGAATTTAAGAAACAAGGCAGAGGATCATAGGGGAAGAGAGGAAAAAATGAAACAAGATGAAACCAGATAGGGAGAAAAACCATAAGAGACTCTTAATCTTAGGAAACAAACTGAAGGTTGCTGGAGGGGACGGGGGGTGGGGGATGGTGTAATGGGGTGATGGACACTGGGGAGGGTATGTGTTGTAATGAGCACTGGGTATTATATAAGACTGGTGAATCGGGGTGCCTGGGTGGCTCAGATGGTTGAGCGTCTGCCTTTGGCTCAGGTCATGATCCCAGGGTCCTGGGATCGAGCCCCACATTGGGCTCCTGACTCGGCGGGGAGTCTGCTTCTTCCTCTCCCTCTGCCTCTCCCACTGCTCGTGCTCGCTCTCTCTCTCTCTGTATCTCTGTGTCTCAAATGAATAAATAAAATCTTTAAAAAAATAAAAAAATAAAAGGATCTTCTCTTAAAAAAAAAAAGACTGATGAATCACAGACCTGTATGCCTAAAACAAATAATACATTATATGTTAATTAATTGAATTTAAATTAAAAAAATAAAAAATAAAAGGAATTTGAGATGAAAAATAACTAAAATGGAATTGATCAAAACTAAAAAAATTTTTTTGGAAATGAATTATTATCATTTTTATGATTTTTGGGAAACATTTTATGGCTTTTTGTTTCTCCAAATTTAAGGAAACCTTTTTCTCTTTTCTCTTAAGTTATCAACAATTTGGTAACATATACCTTTGCATAACAATTTTTCTCCCTACCTGATCCCTCTAGAATTTGGTAATTCCTAGTGAGTGAATATTCTTATTTTCATGGCAACAGAATTATTTGCATAAGGTCAATAAGAATCTGTTCTCCTTGTAACAGGACACAATTGGAAACATAGGTTATATTACCAAGGCTTTGACTGGAATGTCACCGTTTGAGAGAGATGTATATAGACTCAGATATAACCAGACAGCTTTTTAAAAACTTTTTTTTTTTTTAAAGTGATCTTTATGCCAAACATTGGGCTTGAACTCACAACCCTGATATCAAGAGTCAGATGCTCCTCTGACTGAGCCAGCCAGGTGCCCCCATGACCAGACAGCTTTAAGGAACTAATACTGACTTTATGGAGCCAATAAAGCCCCATGGAAAAATTGGCCTGGTACCTTGCTTACAGGGTTCCCAGGAGCCTTACCAGGTGAATAAGGAAGGTCACATCCTGGCAGGTGCAGGACCCTTAGGATATTTTGAAGACCTCAAAAAAAGACGAATTCACCCAAATCTATAGATATTGCAGGCACAATCTGATGCTAGTCCTTAGTATGGCTTGTTAACCTTGAGAAGCTTTTAAAAGTTCAATCTGAGGGGCGCCTGGGTGGCTCAGTCAGTTGGGTGTCTGCCTTCAGCTTAGGTCATGATCCCAGGTCATGACCCCCGCTGAGCAGGGAGCCTGATTCTCCCTCTCCCTCTGCCATTCCCCCCACTTGTGCTCTCTGGCTCTCTCTGTCAAATAAATAAATAAAATCTTTAAAAAAATAAATAAAAGTTCAATCTGAGATTCCTTATGAAAAGTTCCAGCAAAGTAGATTTAAAAGAGCCTATATGGTCAATCACTATTCTTGATGCACTTATGTAAATGATCAGGCCAAGTTGATTAAAACTAGACTTGGTTTGCAGATGCATTAGTCTTGCTGTGGTTATCTTTGATAAAAATGGGGGTGATTGTAGAGAGAAAAATTATGTTTCAGTAATACACCTTTGTGGATATCAAATTCTAGTGCTGTTAATTGTCTTTGAGATTTTGTTTTCTATCTGTAAACTGGACTAGATCCTGAATTTTTCTTTTTTTTAAAAGCTTTTTTTTTTTAAAGATTTTATTTATTTACTTGACAGAGACATGGCGAGAGAGGGAACACAAACAGGGAGAGTGGGAGAGGGAGAAGCAGGCTTCCTGCGGAGAAGGGAGCCCGATGCGGGACTCGATCGGATCAATGGATAAAGAGATCATGACCTGAGTCGAAGGCAGAGGCTTAACGACTGAGCCACCCAGGCGCCCGGATCCTGAATTTTTCTAGTTTCCTCCAATATTTGGCTCAACTCTCCAAACTAATGTTTCCAGCTTTCCTCCCACCCTCTGACATGGAATCCTTGAGAACTAAAACTGCCATTTTTCTGAAGCCACGCAAGCTACAGTTGGACAATTTGATATAAACTTCATAGAAATCACCACAACAGCTCATGTATGGACCATCAGGCCTGTTGCGGTGTGGCTCCTCAGTGATATCACCAATGACATTCAAGCTACAAACAAGAAAAATCTGCGAGATTGTCTCTGCCTGAAAATACTTTGAGCCGACACCTAGGAATCTTCCAGTCTCACTGCCTTTGGAATTCAGAAACAGGGATTATAATCTGCTCCAATCATTAATCCTGTTTTTCTTTTGTTTCCATAGAAATGCCTCTTGTACCACAGCCCTAACTTTGGGAGCCCACCTGAATCACCACCTCCTGAAATGAGATACAACTGTTTAACTGAATTGACCTATTCTCAGTATTAAGAGAATGGTTCAGTGAGATGGAGCAATTTACCAACTCAATTTTAGGATTGTGAAACTTCTTGGGGAAATTTCCAAGGTGGGACTGAGGCGAGGGACAAACTATGTGACTCCAAAACATGCCCTTTTGGCTTGTGGGTTATTTTGAGTTGAAGGTAGACTCACGAAAAACTTTTATTTCTCCCAAATCACCTAAAGAATTTAGATAGGCGAGCTGACCCAGAAAGACAGCCGTAACCAGAGATCAACTTTTATTTGAAAGACCTATCTATATGGCAGGGCAAACATCTAATTACCAAACATTTGTTCTTCTTATTGTCCTGTCACCCTCCTTCCCTTTGAAGCCCTAGGCCCCTATCGCATTCCTTAGTTCAGGATGGCATAAAAACCTCAACTGATGGGCTTCTGTATGTATGTAATTGAATGTTTTTCTCCTGTTAATCTGTTTTTTTTTTTTAAGATCTTATTTATTTATTTGACAGAGAGAGAGAGCTCACAAGTAGGCAGACAGGCAGGCAAAGGGAGAGAGGGAGAAGGAGGCTCCCCGCCGAGGAGGGAGCCCAATGTGGGGCTTGATCCCAGGACCCTGGGATCATGACCTGAGCCGAAGGCAGACGCTTAACTGACTGAGCCTCCCAGGTGCCCCTCCTGTTAATCTGTTTTATATCAATTTACCAGCCAAAGAACCTAGAAGGGTAGAATATAAGTTCTTCCTCCCAACACATGCAATATTTGTTCTTTCATCCTTTTGGCTTATTTTGCTTAGTGTACTTCCCTCAAGTTCATCAGTGTTGTAGCATGTGTTAGAATTTCCTTCCTTTTTAAGGATGAGTTATCTTTTATAATATTGTATGCATACACTAAATTTTATCTATTCATTCACTGATGGACATTTGGGTCCATCATTTGGGCCACCTTTTGGCTCTTGTGAATAATACTGCTATGAACATTGGTATACAAATAAGTGTTTGAATACCTACATTCAATTCTTTGGAAATATACCCATAAGTGGAATTGCTGAATCATATGGTAATTCTATGTTTAAATTTGATGAAGTCCCAGTTTGTTGTCTATGCCTTTTGTTTCATATTCACAAAATCACCGTTGAATCCATTGCCAAAACTTTTTGCCCTATTTTCTCTTAAGAGTTTTATCGTTTTACCTCATACATTTAAGACTTTGATCCACAGTATATAAGCTTTATAACTTGTTAAATTAGTGATCTTCAAAAAATATAAACCCAGGGGTGCCTGGGTGGCTCAGTCAGTTAAGTGTCTGCCTTCAGCTGGGGTCATGATCCAGGGGTCCTGGGATGGAGCCCCGCATCGGGCTCCCGGCTTAGCAGGGGAGCTTACTTCTCCCTCTCCCTGTGCCGCTCTCCCTGCTTGTGCTCTCTCATCCTCTCTCTCAAATAAATAAATAAAATCTTTCAAAAAAATAAAAATACCGTAGCCTGCAGGGCTCTACATGATCTGGTTTACACTTTTCTGATTTCAACAAATTCTAGCAACATTGCCCACACCATGCTATTTCTCAAACATGCCAAACACATTCCCAACTCAAAGCATTTATACTTGCTATTCCTTCTTTCAGAAGCACACTGCCTTCATATCTCTGATTATTCATCCCCTTCTCAATGAGGTCTTTCCTGAGCACCTTATCTAAAGTGCCATTTTCATCTCTATCCCATTACCCTGCTTTTTTTTCTTATTAGCATTTGTCATTGCCTAACATGTTATTTGTTTTTTCCTCGTGTCCCCCAAAGAGAATATAAACTTTAGGAAGGCAAAGATCTTGGCCTCCTTCTTACTGTAACAGGATCCTCAAATTTTTACCTGAATACACAGATGCTCAGAATAAAGGCACTCAGTGGTGGCCAATGGGTGAAAAACTTCTAGGTCATATCCTTAAAAATAAGGAGCTCCTTCTCTCTCTCCCCACTTTCCACTGGCTAGAATTGGATGTGGTGGCAACCAGCTGTAGACTATTTAGATGATGACAACTCCTTAGAGATGACAAAGCAACAAGACTGATGGAACCTAGGTACCTATTGATTTCTTGAATCAAAGCTGTTAAAAGGGGCACCTGGGTTGCTAGTTGGTTGGGCATCTGCCTTCTGCTCAGGTCATGATCTCCGGATCCTGGGATCGAGCCCCACATCGGGCTTCCTGCTCAGCAGGGAGTCTGCTTCTCTCTTTCCCTCTCTCTTTCTCACTCTGCCCCTCCCACTGCGTGTTCTCTGTCTCTCTGCCTCTCAAATAAATAAATGAAATTAAAAAAAAAAGCTGTTGAAAAAGCTTGGACTTTTCTTTTTTTGAGAAAGAGCACACTTTATTTGAAAGAGAGCATTGCACATGACCAAAAGATGAAGGCAGCCCAAAGGGCATCCTACACATGTTCTAAAAGATACAAAGGATGATAGGTAAAGAGGATTAAGAGTACACTTAATATGATGAGCACTGAGTAATGTATAGAATTATTGAATCACTATATCATAGTCCTGAAACTAATATAACACTGTATGTTAATTATACTTGAATAAAAAACATTTTTAAAGATACATAGGATGTTTTGCTAAGAAAGGTCAACTGGAATATGTATTTCTTTGGGACACCTCCCCAATCATATCTCTCTGAGGCGCTGCGACACTCCTAACCATTTCTTTGAAGGCAACTGTAGTTCACTAAAGACAGAGCCACTCAAAGATGCCTTCTTGTTTTTCATAAAAACATTTTTAGATTTTTTTTTTAAGTCCTCATTTGTTACTTTCATTCTACGTTCTCTCGAGGTCATCAGACTAGCTTCTGTACAGGTTGCCTTGATGTCAACACCAGGGAGGTCATCTTTAGCCACGATCAAGTCATCTAGGGTTACATCAGCAGCAACCAGCATCATCTTGCTTGCATGAATCAGACTTCTTTGTCCTTTCACTGGGCAGGGGGACCTTACTCTCCCTGTCCATGTGGCCTGATCTGATAAGTGCTGGATCCAAATTTCTTACTCGGTTTGTGGCCATGATAACTTGCACGTCTTCCCTTGAATTAAATCCATTCAACTGCTTCCACAGTTCTAATATTGTTTGCTGAATTTCTCTTTCACCACCAAAATTCGAGTAATATTTTTTTGTCCCAATAGCATCAATTTCATCAATAAAAATGATGAATGATACATGTTCTTCAGCAACTTGAAACAATTCCTGGACAAGTTTGGGCCAATCACCTAGGTACTTCTGAATAATTCAGAGCCAGTTATTCTCAAGAAAGTGGCTGAGGTTTGGTTCACTATTGCTTTGGCTAGTAAGGTTTTGCCTGTGCCAAGTGGGCCATGAGAAATGACTCCCTTGGAGGCTTTATACCCATTTTCCCCCCATAATATTCAGAATGAGCAAGAGGAAACTCACAGTTTCCTTAATTCCCTGATTTGGATGTCCAACCCCCCAATTACAGCATAGAGTTCCTGGAGAGACTTTTCAACTTCATCGCTGTGACTAGGAGATCCATGTCACTCCTCTCACAGCATGCACCTTGTGGCTGAGCAGGAATGAGCAGCTGGGTTCCAGCAGATTGTTGTCTACACATGAAAAGAATGCTGATGTGATGTTCTTAGCCCACAGATGTAGACACAATGGCGTGTCTTTGATCATCAGTGACCTCTTCCAAGGTTCCTACCAACATTGGGTAGGAACTGGCTACCCTCAGATCATTCACCTTTGATCTTTTCTCCCCTTTTCTCCTACAGGCTTCATTTATTCCTGATTTCTAATGAATTCTTCCTCCTCTAACTTCAGTAATTTTAACTGGCACTGAATGTGAGCGTCACCAGTGGCAGTTTGCTGGCAGTATCTGATCCCTTTGTTTCCTTCTTTTCCCCACTCTAGTTGGTACACAAGGTTCATACTTCTTTTTCTTGCCCTCGTCATCCGTCTTGCTACCTCCAGGACCATGACCACCACTACTCTGACTTTGACCCATCTTGCTTTGGCCACTGGAGCCAAGATTGGACTTTCATGTGGAGACACATTTTCATCTCTTTTTAAAGATTTTATTTATTTATTTGAGATAGAGAGTGAGAGAGAGAGCGAGCAAGAGAGCACACACAAGCAGGGGGAGTGGCAGGCAGAGGGAGAGGGATAAGCAGACTCCCTGCATGTGTAGGGCTAGATCCCAGGACCCTGGGATCGTGACCTGAGCCAAAGGCAGACACATAATCGAATGAGCCACCCAGGCACCCTAACACATTTTCATCTTAATAAAGTAACTATTATTTTGCATCTCTGTCATAGTAGCTGTATATATTTCTTAACTCTGAGCTTTCTAACCATTGTGCCTCAGCCAAGAGAAAGGAGGAATATCAACCAACAGAGCCTACCATAGTGACCAAAAAGTTTCCTCTTGTATTAATCTCAGTGTATTCCTAGTCTTAGAATGGGGAATAGAAAGAAAAAAAAAACAAACAAACCCAAAACATCATTCTTGCTGCTGCATATATGTATATGTGTGTATGTATATATATATATATATATATGTTTTTATATATATGTTTATATATATATGCACATATTATCTCAACTATTTATAAAAATACATATACCCATGCATACAAAAAAACACTAGAAAAAATACTCAAAAATGTTAAGCAGAGGGGCACCTGGGTGGTTCATTCGGTTAGGCGTCTGCCTTCAGCTCAGATCATGATCTCTAGGTCCTGGGATCTCTCCCTCTCCCTCTGCCGCTCCCTCTGCCACTCTCCCTGCTCGTGCTCACTCTCTCACTCTTATGCGCTCTAAATAAATAAAATCTTTAAAAAAATGTTAAGGGTGAAGATTCGGTTGCAAGAGTTCAGGGAAGAAAACTAAGTACTGTGAAAGAGAAAAAATACTGAAAATGACCAGAAGCTTTTTGGATTGGGAAATGGAAAGAATAATGATACAATTTTCATGAAAGTCATTAAATCTGTAATTCTTACTACATTATAGTAACACAAATACCTTAACAAATCCACCCTGGGTTCAGATAAAATTTTTCTTTGAAAGTATTGGAGAGAGACTGTGCTTGTTCGGTGCTTCCTGAAACATGTACCATGAAACAGTATTCCTTAGACACGACCATTGCAAAGAGTTTTTTCTGTGGATGCATACAGTATCTCTCCCTGGAATTTTAAAGGCTCTGAGAAATCCTGCAGTTAGGAAACATGATTCATGTTGCTCAACGAAGCTTTACTGTGACAGACATTACTATTCACATCTATATTCTCCTCTTTGTTCTTACAACCCTGATTTGTTCAGAGCAACAACATGCCCAGCTAAAGAACCATGTTTTTCAGCATTCCCTAGAGAAGGCCAGGTGACATGGTTCTAGGCAATGAGGTGGAAATGGCAGTTGCTGAGTGAAGCTTCCTGAATAGTTCATAAAAGAAAGACCAACTGAGCTGGCAAGTATGGTTGCCATTTTCCCTTCCTGTTCGCCTTGGCCGAAACATGGATGTGACAGAGGAGCCAAACCTCTGAAGATGAAAGACACAGGATATGGATAACTGAACAAAAGTATAAAAGTAGCTTCAGCCTCTAATGCTTTCATGGGTTGACTGTACTTCTCAGAACTTCTCAATCCATGAGAAAAAGGAAATCTCTGTTTGGCTAAGGTACTATGGGTTTCCTGTCAAAACACAGAAGGAGTCTGGGTCCTTGTTGGCACCATGGGGTAGCTGCATTTGCTTAAATCTAAACTACCTGTACAAAAGAGAAAAAGCAAGCCCTCATTTGTTTGGTACTTGTACCAGAGACAAATAGCAATGTGCACTGTGCCTGGGTTCTGGATAAGGAAGGAGGAGAGAACAGTCCATGCTTTGGAAATACTGAGTCTGAGATACTTGTGGGATAGCCACATGTGGAGAACCAGGAGAGCGTGGGATGTGTAGGTCAGGAGCTTGGACAAAAGATCCGGGCTACGAAAAAACAGGTCATAAGAGTTCAGGGTAGATACCTTAAAGTCCCTTACTGCTTGTCATGGATTGGGCACAAACACATTCTGTGCATCCCTGAGGAACAGAGCAAGGGATCAGATTTGACTCCAAATGAATGAATACTTTCCCATAGCCAGACCTCTCTACAAATGGAACAGGTCCTCTGAGTTAGAGAGCATCCTGCTCCTTGAGCAATGCAGGCAGAAACTGAGTACTCAAGTGGTGGGCAAGATGTCCAGAGCACTGGGAAATTAGATTTGATGACTGTTAAATATCTTTCAAACCTTGAGCAGCTAATATTCTAAGCATCTAATGTGGTTCTGAAGTGTGATGTTGTCAACCTTGTGAAAAGGATTCAACCAACTACAAGCCCACGATCCTTCACTGTTGTTGTACCCATTCTTGCTCTGAACTGTACACTTAAAAAAGTTAAGATAGTAAATTTCATGTGCACTTTTCCACAGTTAAAAATTCTCAAATAATTAAGCACATGCAATAGGCACTTCATAGCAAACACTAGAGTATGAGGAATGAGCCTCAGAAATAGTGGCTGGTGCCTCTTAGAGGCATTGTAAATGCTCCAAAGAGGTGACTGTGAGCTGGGACAGCGCAGGTGGCTGTTGGCAAAGGGGAATCTCTGCAAATGGCCCACAGATCATATCCGCTTGGGGCGGGGAGACCTTGCAATTTTTCCAATGGAGGCAGGAAGCCTGAGGCACTGAAGCCAGTGGACCTGCCATCCCTCCAACTTCTCCCTGTAGCTTCCTGTGGTAACTGTCACCCTGTGGCCACCTGCTCCTGTCTCTTGACCAGAGAAGTTTTCCTGCCTCTGAGTGCAGTATTAGTTCCTTAACTCTGACGCTGAAATACTACAGAATTAGAGACCACTTATTGAGTGCCTACTATGCCTTGCATAAAGTCCTTTACATATTGTTTCTATTATTTTCACAGGGACTCTGTGAAAGAGGTTAAGTAACTTACTCAAACATGCATAATAAGCCAAATTCTTTCCATCATACCATGTGGCCTCTATAATGATAATAATAATAAAATCCCTATAGCAACTGGGATATTTTTAAAGCCCCCGTAAGTTCTCAGAGGCAAAAATGCACTGTAACTTGGGGTTGCCATGAAATAGTAATTGCTAACATTTATTGAGCATTTAGTACAGGTTAGGAACTTGGTGAAACACCGATTACATTACCATATTTAATACATCCAATAACCCTGAGTAGTATGTGTAAAGGTGCCCATTTGTCCAGTGCCTGGCACATTGGCAAAGGCTCAGGAATGGTCAATTATTTCAGGACAGAGGATTGATCCTTCTTTCACATTGAAATACGTGATTCCCAAGATCAATACCAATTCTGGAACTGCTACTACTTTATTTTTTGAGTGTTGGAAACACATTTCTGGATGATTTTAAGGAAGAACTTGGTTTGAATGCTAGTTCAATGCTGCCATTGTTTTCCATGATACTAACCCTAAAAACAGGAAGATATACCAGAAGATGTCACTAAGAATATGTGTTTATAGTAGAAAGGCATGCATGCATTCATTCATTCATTCAACAAATAGGTCTTGAGTGTCTTCTGTTTGCCAGGCCACACCTCCTGTTCCCCCTCCTCCCCTCAAAAAACAGACAAAAACAAAAACCCTTC